TTCAAAACATATCGTGTCACATTTTCTTCCAACAAAACTCTTTTATAATAACAAAAACTTGATCGCTTTCCTCCAAAAAAAGCAAGAGTGGTACTACCCATGTGTTTCACATACGTATTAGTTTTGCTTTCTTTACTATTATAATTAGATAGATAATTATCAACTCTCTTATTGTTAGTAAGCAGTAGTTAGATATACTTAATAACGCCTGATATTCCTTGTGAAGGAACGTCCGTTATCCATCAGCATTCTTCATCCAACTCTACCCTGGGCAATCCTTTCCAGCTGTTTCCAATTGCTATTCATTCCTTTGATTTCTGTTTATGATTCCCGGCTCCATGTGTTCATTGACTTTTCTCTTTTTCTTTCCCCTTCAGGATACCAAGTCAGCACTTTCCATAGGGGGGCAGTTTAATGATTTCCATAATGTATCTCCTATCCACTTTCAACGTCTTCTAATTTCCTCTTCAACTAGAAGTTGGTTTGTTTTCTTCCATACCAGGTTGTTGCTGATAGTATCCGACCAACGGACATTCAGTATCTTGCATAGACAATTGTTTGTAAATTCCTGTACTTTTTTCAGTAGAGTTGAAATGGTTCTTCAAGTTTTATCACCTCACATAGAACTGTCTTGACGTTCGTATTGGAGATTCCGACATTGATATTGACTGACAGTTGTTTTGAGTTCAATATGTTTTTCAACTGTAGGAATGCAGCCCTTGCTTTGCCAATCCTTGCCTTTACCTCCTCATCGGATCCTCCTCGTTTATCGATGATGCTCTCCACGTACGTGAAAGTTTCCACCTCTTCCAGAGTTCCTCAACCAAGTGTGTCTGAGTCGGTGCTCTCCGCGTTCTATTTCAGGATCTTGCTTTGTCCTTTGAGTATGTTGAGGCCTATTGTTTCCAAGGCTGCTGCTTCACTGGCTGCCATCGTCTGCATTTGTTGGTGTGTATGGGATAGAAGAGCTAGATCATCTTCAAAGTCCGAATCATCTAGTTGCATCGAACCTGTCTATTTTATTCCGTGCTCCCATAATCCATTCAACCACTAGAAGAAAGATAAAAAAGCAATAGTAAGCAGTCAGCCTTGTCTGACATCGGTGTACACATGGAATGCATCTGTCATCTGTCCTCCATACACAACCTTGCAGTGTAGTTCGTCGTATGATGTTAACGATCGTCTTAGGTACACCATAGTGTCGAAGAGGATTCCATAATTTTCTCCTATCTACACTGTCAAACGCTTTCTCATGGTCAAGGAAGTTGATGTGTAGTGATGAATCTCATTCAATTTACTGTTAAACAATGATCCGTAGTGTCGCGATTCGGTCTGTACACGAATAATCCTCATGAAATCCCGTCTATTGATCTCGAATTTGGGCGTCTACTGGATCTTTCTTCCGGTTTGGCAACACTCTGTTGAAAACATTTCCTGGTACTGACAGTAGAGTGATGCTTCTGTAGTTTTCACATTTTCTCGGATCTTGAGTTAGTTCACTATGATCGATCGCAACCTCTCGTAAAACTAATCTTTATCGTTGTCGTTGCTGTCATTGGTAGGTGCGTATCAATGAATGACATTCATTGTAATCCACTCCTTCTTTGTTTTGAATGATGCTCTGATGACCATGGATCCATGAAATTCCAACGCGATAAGTGAATTACGTGCTTCTTTGGACAGCATTAGAGCAACTCCCTGAGTATGTTGAGCATTTCCCTCTTCGTGACTAAAGTATAGCAGTATCTTTCCCTAATTTCTTCTTTTCTGTTCAGCTTGGGTCTAATGGGTTTCACTGCTTCCGACCACCACCAAGTTGTGTCTCCTCATTTCTACAGCTATTTGATTGGTCCTCCCGGTCCCCCACATTGTCTGAACATTCAAGGTACTTATATTAATTGTTGCTTTGAGGGCATCGGCCTCGTGACTTATGAAGAACCCCGGCTTTGACCATGAGATGTCATAATTCTTCTAAATGAAGATCCTTGAACTCGGAGGACAGAGTTGAAATGGTGAAGATAGTTTTTTTCCTGCTTAGGGGGATGGGTTTGTTGACCCTTTGGCCAGCACTCCTCTTTTACACACACTTGCGGTCGGTAATAACCTTAGAAGTGCTATTTACCTAGACATGATAAATTCCAATGATGAATGACTAAAATCCTGTAATAAGTTACCTGGTGAAGATTATTAGATGCATATTTACTGAGTGATAAATGCATAAATATCTTTTCATTCTTTTATCCCTAAATCAAAACATATATATAAAAGAAATTTTGTTTATTATTCCTAAATAGCTTGACTATCCTGTTGTCAAGATATTCTAAAGTTTTAAATTGCCCATAAAAACCATTCCATAGTCCATATTTCTTGTAAATGAAGTATTAGCTTTTTAAGCCTGTCCTTAACCAACCATGTACTGGCCCTTCTTCAGGTGTATCACTCAGGTAACTGGTTACGTTAAGCTGTTGTCGTATAAAAAGAATAATTATTCTATGCATTCTTTAACATTAAAAAAATATATTTTTTGAACAATTACTCATAAAATCGTCACTAAAACTTCGAGTGCATAAATGATATGAATAAGTTTGAGTTCAATCAAACGATATTTTGAGATTGAATTTTATACATTAACGTTCTTAGGTATATTTTTATACTTTATACTTTAGTTACTTTATACCTTAGTAGTTCTAAGTAGTTAGCATGAATCTTACTGTAATTAAGTGAACACTAAAATATATTCTTCATATTAGTAATATCTGATTCAATAAATCTTACTAACTTACTTACTTACTTACCTGTAAGTTCTTATGGATTAAATTAACATACTGTTCATCCAATTGGATAATCACCAACCAATTAATATCTTCTATTTTAATTAGTAAATATACTAATTATGGTTATATTAAAGACTTTTATCAATCTACTAAATATTTTCGATAATATTTTATTCCTATAAGATGAACTCTACTACATATTTGCTAAGTTTGAAGCTATCACCAGTTCACTTAGTCTGCGAACAAGATTAAGACTCGGTGACCAAACACCAATAAGCCAGCTATTGATGCGTCCCAGCCCCGCTAACTAGAGGAAGAAGTTCAAACTTGGAATGGGGAAGTATATTCTGCAAAACGGTCAGAAACGAGCGATAAAAACAAACACAATTCAAAACGTATATATACAGTACAAAACCGTCTTTGGGGAGAGTTATCAAATAGCATACTGAAAAGACGCAATGGAGCAATAGCATTTAAGATATTTCTCAGTGGGAAATACCACATGAAGGTGAAAAGAGCACCCTCGGCGCGAAAACAAAGAAATTCAAATTTTATAAATGAAATCACAAAATTAGGTCCTTTCCTAAGTGAGTTCTGGGGATCTAACGTCCCCAACAATGTTGTGGAAATATTATCAGTTTTCGCTAATTATATAGAGAATCTCATTAAAACTGTTTTGCATTCTCTGTACTATGTTACAGTTTCCAAAGTTTTAAATAGAAATTTACAATATACTTCTCTAATAATTTTGTGATTTTGTCATTAAAAGAAAATCATGTTACCTGAAAAATATTATTTTTTTCAGTTTAGTATAAGTATAATACTAAATTTTATTTAATTTTCAATAGTATATGATAAATTTTGTTTTCTCACATATAATCTGTTTAATAAACTTTTATTTTGAAAATTGTTTAATCACTACTGATTAGATTCAATGTAAAATTTAAACGTTCGTGCACCAGACCGATAGGTTCTGGATTCGAATTCCACGAGTGGGATCGTGGATGCGTACTGTTGAGGAATCCCACATTAAGACGAAATAGTCATTCAGTGCTTTCAAATTTTCCATGGTGGTCTAACTTTAATTGATTCATGAATTCAACTATTAAACTACTATAATATGCATAAAATCTCTTTCTGATTCTATAATTTAATTATTATTTAATATTTTAAAGTTAAGACACATAAACGTAATATACTGAATGAACTTTTAGAAGTTCTATATATTTTATTGATGTGGACTTCATTTTTATGACAAAGCACTAATAAACAATTCAATCTTTGATTAGTAGACAAAGTATGACAGATTACGTCAACTGCTCACTAGTGACTGACTTCAAGAAAAGCTCCTGGAGTTCTAGTGAGAAGCCGTTACCAGTGGAGTTCAACCGGTCTGTTGTGAGATAACAACTCACTGAAGACAATGGTGTACGGTGGCGCAACTTCGTGGATTGGTTGAAGTTAGACATTAACACCGTTGGATGCCGGCTCAGTGGTCTAATGGTTAAGTGCTCGCGCGCGAAGCCAGTAAGTCCTGGGTTCGAGCCCCGCGTGGTGCGGGGTCAGGGATGCGCACTGCCGAGGAGTCCCATACCAGGACGAAACGGCCGTCCAGTGCTTCCAGGTTTTCAATGGTGGTCTAGCTTCAACTGACTCATGATTTAAAAACCTATAGAAAGTTATTATTTGGTGTTTTAGTATACGTTTTTTGTGCCACCTTATAATTTATCTCTTATTTGTTTCAATGGTTGAGATCATGAGTCGGTTGAACCTAGACCACCATGAAGAACCTGGGGGCACTGGATGGCCGTCTCGTCCTACTACGAGACTCCTCAGTAGTGCACACCCACGACCTCGTCCCCTATGGGATTCGAACCCAGGACCTACTGGTTCTGCGCGCGAGAAATTAACCACTAGACCACTGAGCCTGTATCCAACGGTGTTAATGTCTAACTTCAACTAATCCACGAAATTGAGCGACACATCCACCATTGTCTTCAGTAACTTACTATCTCACAACAGACCTGGTTGAACTCCACTGATCTCTACTTCTCACTAGAACTCCAAGATATACCACGTAAAACCAGTCACTATTGAGCATATGTTGATTAATATCAGAAAGGGTTTTGTGAAGATTGTAGTAATTTCAATGGTTAAGATCATGAGTCAGTTATTTGTGTATACAAATTTCATTTCATATATTTTTTTTATTCAGAGACAAGTTTACAACGTTTTGATTGGTTGAAAAATTATTCACTGACCTTGAGTGATAATATGCACCAATCCTATTGTTTCTTTATTAATATAATTAATCATACAATCTGTATATAAATAAATATTATTGATCAAATCAATAATAATATTACTTTACACTTTACAATTATGCGCCTATTTCTTATTTTATATCTAAGCTTAATTATAAATTTTATAAATTGTAATAATGAAGAAGATGAATCAGATTTATCGATTATTGTAGGTTCTATTCATTAATCAATTAATGAATCATTTTAAAAATAAAAAAAAACAAACATTATAGACTGAAGAATTAATGAATGCTGGTTTTGATTATGCTAATCTATTACATAAATGGTTTGAAAAAAATATTGGAAAAAATGAAATGAAAATAATTAAACAAAATTTAGCAAAATTGGGGAAATTAGCATTCAATTTTATTGATTCAAGTAAGTTGTTATTAAATCAATAATTATGATCATTGATTTGTTGTTGTTTTTTTAATTTTTTTTTCTTCTTAATTGTAGCTATACAAAACTTAATTAAAGATGATGATGATGATAATGATAATGAGGATCATGATCATGATCATGAGTATAATGATTCACAATTAAAACATAATGAATTATAAAATCAATAATTTTGTACTGTATATATATATACATATACGTTATTTTGTAAAATAGATTAATGTTTCTTTGATTGAATTAAAAATAAACTCCATGGATAAAAATGTTTTTTTTAATTATTGTAAAATTGCTCATTCGCAAACAGGAAATATTAGTGTTCACGAGGTATAGATTAGATTGAAGTATGCTCAATGCACGATTACGTTGATGCACGCTAATCGATACTTGGATGACATTCTAAAATCTTCTCATGTTAAAACTATAAATATGCTAACACTTTCCCTATTGTACTTCTTACTTCCATCTAACTTTGTTACTTTCCTGTTCAACTGTGTTTTGATTTGGGGACTTATCGAATGAATTGGTGTACAATTATACTAAGTAATAGGAATAGCTGAGTTGTAACAATTAGATTATTATTTGTTTAGATGTTACTAACAGCAGATTCATATTTATTTCTATTTTTCTTCTTTAAGAGATATGATATATAGTTTTTTCTAGTTGAACTATCGAAAATAACAGTATTGTAAATAAGGTTAGTACAAAAACGTTTTACGAATGGGTAACAGGTACACTTTGCTGACGAGTGCCAAAAAGCATGAAACTCGGGTTCAGGGTTTTTTTGTTGACTACCTCCAACCACCATCTTATCTGAACATAGTGCACACAATTTCGAGTCACCTAGACTAATGACCATATTGCAACTTCGTCGATAGCATTCGATTTGCACTAAGAAGGATTTAATATACATGACATTGATCACTACTCAATGATCAATCAATTGTCAACACAACTCAATCTTACTGTATATCTGTCATCAATCTATATTTTTTGAGGTTCATTGTAATTAATAATAAAGATTGAATTCTAGGTAATTAAGCCTACTTACTTCATCAGTATAACTGAGTCAATAAGTTTAAAACCTTCGAAATTCCTGAAAATCGATCAATTAAATGCAGAACAAAAACGAATATTTATTCGCAGACCCGTTACTAAGTACAGTTTAAAATAAATAAACCTGTGTGAAGAATATAGATTATCATTTACAGTTGATGGTTAAAGTTATGTATTAGATTTAGGTTTTTCATCACGAAATGATATCACTTAAAATATCAAAACTCTATTTAGTCAAATGGATAAATGGATTTCGTGCAAACATTCGACACATACTATCCTACATCTGATTGGTTCGTCCATAATTTATAGTCTAGCCAACAAGTTTCATTGAAATAGAATTTCTTTCAGATATATATATCACATTAATGTAAATGTCTCTGCTTAATCTCCAATGGATCATAATGAATGAATAAAGAATTACAAAGCTATTTGTTAACGCGCTAATAATTATAATTATTCTAATTGAAATCAATTCCATGACAGTCACTGTAAAAGTAGATGGCTATTCTGATATTCATTTGTTGAAATTGAATTGGTACTTGAAAGTTATCTGAAAAACTGAAATTACTTGATTGTCTTTAAGAAATGAGACATTATTATTTAACCATAAAGTTTGTAAGTATCATTAACATGGTTCGACTTAATAATTTTGAACAGACTGAATAGATGGGATAGATTTATGTTAATAGATATAATGATATATTTGTCAAGTTCAAGTGAGTAGATAATTTACTACGTAACATTTGTTGACTTAATGTAAACCAATACATCAGAGAATAAATAACTTAATTCATTCAATTAACATATGTATCCATTTATTTGTTCTCTGAAGAGGTGGCTTAAACTAAGTTAAGAAACACCATAAATTCAAATTTCTTCACATTAAGACGTTATGAATATACAAATATTTACATAACGATTAAAGTAAATTGATGTATTGAATCATCCTATAAAACAATTAAGAATATTTAAAATTGAAGCCACAACATCGAATGTGAAACGCATTACTAGGAAATACATTTAGGCAACACCATCAATTGAATGAACAAACTTAAAAATGTGAACTGACTGAAGACGAACGAAGAACGCATAAAATCAAGATATAGCACATAAGATAAAGACTTATTCAGACGAATATCTAAACTGCAGCCTGATCAGTCCTAACAACTAAATAAAGATGGTATAGATAAGACCACTCAATCAATAATCAATGTACAGATTTCAAGATATTTAAAGATTTTTAGCATTTACCATCTTCTTACTGATAAATTTTTCTGCAGAACCAGTGAAACCATTTTAAATAAAGTAGGTAGTTAAAAAGATTACATAATTTTCAAATTCACGAATGCAAGATTGAAGATTATCTTCTGGCTAATATAAAGCTCTGTTTACTACAGTCACTGCAAAATAGATCGCTATCAGAAAAGCATCAAAACAAACAAACTTCACATCAGTTGACATTTCCCATCACTTTAAGTCAAGAATTAAAATTGATGCTCCTCCGTATATTATGAAGTTGTTCGATTTCAAATTCACAAGAAATCCAATGTTTCATCTCCAATTATTACACACTGCATCTATTATTGTCCAAACAATTTATCCAACAACCTGACTTACTTTATCATTCAAAAGAATCTCTCGAATCCACTACCTATTTAAAAGTCATGAGGTCCATCTTCGACGAGGATCAATTCAAATGTATCAAAATAACTCATGTTTATCATGCAGCAATAGAATGTACACTGAATATTTTGTAGAACTAGAAATAGTTAACTTTAGACAATTACGAAAGCGAATAGATTACTGAACAAAATAACAAGTATTTAAACTTGCTGTTATTCTCGAGATATTTAGCAACCTATTGAAATGGTCTAGTGAGAATTCGAAGGGACGAAAACCGAACGATGAGTAATAAGTAGCAGTTTACCGAAATGCGCGTACCCCAATTGAGTCTGTACGCTTCGATAAACTTAACACATAGTGTTGGTGGGAAAAGATATAAAATAAAATTAAAAACCACCAACAATCCAGGATGATGTCCAGTAACGACCATACCTGTACAAACAGAGAAAATTACATCCTATATATGTTTATTACCGAAAAGAAAAGAACGGTAAAAAGTGATGCAGAGAACTAACATTCCAAACTACACTTCCTAATTAAAAAAATTTCGATAAATCAACTGAATAGTAAAATACACATGAAACTAGTAAAATTGAATGTTTGTGTTGATTCCTCTAGCCTGATAGTAGTTGACTAGCGTAAAAAAATGTGATGGACAATCATTTTACAGACTTTCACAGGTGGTGTATCCCTATATTACTGATGACATCACTGACCACAAATCTACTGCCTCTAAACATTCTTTCCTATAAAATCATCAGAACTTTCGCTTAAATTTGATCGATTCATGATCTCAGTCAAAAACCAACAGTCTCCACAACCCCACACCGATCATAATGATTTTCATTATCTCAAAACTACGTCGTCTAACTAAATTACACATTAGATTGTGATTAGTGAAAACGTTAAACAACTGATTGATTAATAATTTGACTCCTTGTAATATACTATTAAGTGTAAATATTCGCGAAAATTTTAATGAATAATCCTATACTACTATTTACTGAATGAATCGTCCTGACAGTAGTAGAAGAGATTCATCCTGCAAAACCAACTCTATCCAATATGATGATAATTGTGATTGATTTCACATGATCGTCAACTGATTAAAAAGAAGGAAATGATCCAACAGGATAAAAACCTACAATTTACTAATATTACTTGATTGATACAGGACTCTATTTTCGATTTGATCCGTTGGACACCATACAGGTATGATAATATATAATAAAGAAACTATCCAATATTTCGAGATTTCCTACGAGTGCCTAACTGGTCTCTAACAATGTTGAAAATCATCTTTAGAATTCACTTCTCGTTACTAAACTGCATCTGATCACATGAATACTGTTGAGATTCACGTTCATCTTTGATTCCAACCATCATTCTAATGAAGAACACACAAATCTATCAATTGTGGTGACTTAAAATAACGGTCTAATTACTGATATAAATGTTTAAATGATATATCACGTATAATTGTATTCAAAAATCATACGTTCTATTGTATTCATTTCGAATTAGTTTACATTAAGTCAATTAAACGAAAGGTATATGGACTATAGTTCAGTCTGGTTTTAAATACCTCGATCATTAATGTAACGAATTAAATAGGTTAGACAAAAATATTTTGTTTTTGAAAGTGTAACGGATTCTCTCTATGATTCCAATGTATTTGACCTATATGCATATAAACGTCAGTTGTGTGCGTCTGTAAATTCAATTTTGTAAACATCACCACATAAGTATCATAAATGAGAAGTGCACATAAATCTTAACCGATACACTACCTTGATACATAAATTCATAATATGAATTACACTTTATTGAATAGAATTTATAAACGTAAATTATTTGTTTGTATGTAGGTGTGTATCAATGACGGTGATTTGAACACGATGTAAAGTCTATGGAAATTTTATAATCCTTACAAAGACCTACACTGAGAATAGTTTTCTGTCATAAAGCTCTCGCACAGGACAGGAATGAAATCGATAAGAAGAACTATAGTTTAACCTAATAACTAAGATCACTTTGATGGAAAAACGAGTTATCTACAAGCTGATTTTCTCCAATCGTCTATCAAAATCTATCATGTTTATTTTGTACTAAATTTTCCATATCATTTTATTGCACACAAAAATCTATTCTACAGACTATCGACGTTCTCTATGATTCCTATGCATTCATAGGCTTGCGTCAATAATGCGTTCTCGTTCTCGGTCATCACATCATATCATCGAGTCCATATATCAACTAGCATTTTACCCATCAATTTGACACGTCGAAAATCCCGTTCAACAACTCACATAATATTCATGCAAAGCAGAAATCACGAGTTTGTTACTCACAGAGGACGCAACAACTATAACACCATAGTCCTTGTTCTGATTATCTTATCAGAACAACATGACACGATTTTATTTGTATTTATCATTTAATCCTGTCAGGAAGCCTTATTTTGTTGGCTTAATACATTGTCTCGTTTCAAAGTTTTCTGAATAAAAACACGCGACGACCTGATAATAAGTGAATGATTTTGAACTGAAATGATTAAAGTAATGAAAACTGACAAGATATTCTG